TGGGGGTAGCTGCCTTCTTGGGGGCTGCCTTCTTGGCCACCACCTTCTTCGGGCTCTTAGTGATCTTCTTCACGGGGGTTTTCTTGGCAGCAGTAGCAGGCTTCTTCGCCTTCTTGGGTGTTACTGCCTTCTTGGCTGCTGGCTTCTTAGCGGCGGGTTTCTTCGCTGCTGCTGCTGCCGGCTTCTTGGCTTTGGCTGCGGGCTTCTTCGCTACCTTCTTGGGCTTCTCGGCTGCCTTGAAGGAGCCGGTGGCTCCGATTCCCTTGACTTGCACAAGTGATCCATTCTCGAGTAACCTCTTCACGGCGCGTTTAATGTGAGCGGTGTGTTCGTAGCCCTGAGCGGCCAGCGCCTTCTTCACAGCGATGTAAGAGATCCCTTTACGGTCCTTGGAGGCGGTGACCGCCTTCAAGATGAGCTCAGCGGCTCCGGGACCAACCTTCTTAGTCGGCTTGGCTGCCTTCTTCTTCGGGGACTTAGCTGGTGCCTTTGCCAGGGCGGCGGCGGCGACTTCAGTGGGAGCTTCTTCTGTTGCCATGATGCTGTCAGGAGGATTCTCGGGTCTGATGAGACGGAAACAGAAATCCGAGCGAAGAGAGGAACTTGAACACACCATGAGAACCGTAGAGACTCAACTCAGTGTGGCGCACGCAGGAGCTGCAGAAAAACGGTGCCACTTTGTGTTTTCTCTTCAGCTAAAACTGTAAAGAATACACATTTAGAGAACGAGTTGAATTTCAAAGGTTAATCGAATTGATAGCAGATGACTTTATCTTCATATAGAAGCCAAATAAAGCTTTAAACATTGTTGTTTTTTCATTGGGAAGGTTTTAAACCTCCTAAGACTGCTGCCGTGAGTGGTACAGATCTGCGACTTTTCTCTGTAATCTCTCTCTTAAAGGATTTAAAATAATTTATAATCCCACTAAAACTTGTAATATAGTGAAATGAAATGTTGGATTAAAGACTCAATGTGAAATAAATCTAAATTTGTCGACACCTTTTTGTTAAACAGAGGTAATTCTGCTGTCTGCAAACACACTCAGGACAGGCCCTGGCTGTGTTCAACAGTCTTTGTTACTCAACAGTGAGAGACCTTAATTTAGCACAGCTTTTCTCATGTATATCACAATACCACGTTCATATCACAAACTATATTTATATAGTATGAGTATTTTATCATGTTTTTTTACATTCTGAAATGTGTTGGAGAGATAGATCTAAACCTGTAAGGTCACAAAGGCTCTCAAACAGACATTAACTCTTGGTAGCAGAACTCCCACTGACTGTCAACATTAGACAAGTATTATCACTTTATTATTTGTAGAAAATCAGAGAAACATAAACGTGAAGGAATTAGAACCATACACCAGCACAAAGGCTTGGAATTAGTTATGAAATGATATTACTCATTAACACTAAACTGTTAAATCTCAATGTTATCCCAAATGGATTATTAGAATCTCAAAGAATTTCCTAAATGTGAGGCAAACTAAATTGAATATAAATGTATCTTGTTTAACAAGTCATTGTTTTAACCACATTTTCAAATAAATAACATGACCTCTTAAGCGTCTCATAATATTAGCTTTATCTCCATCCCTCACAAGGGAAGGTGTGCATGAATACAAATGAAAGGAATAAATATAGGATATTTTAATACAAAAAACAGCAAATCAAACGTCCATAGGATATATAAGGGTGTGTTGTTATATGTGACACAAAATAAAGGAATAAATAATATAAGATAAAACCCTTTAAGATAAATAAATATATCAAAGTAGGTGAATAATAAAGACTAATACCTTAAAGGGCGGCTGTCGCTAATAAAAAGCTAATCTAAAAAGATGTATCCTTAGATGTCGTTTGAACGCGTCCACTGAGTCCTCTCTGATATTTCCTGGTGTTCCACAGTTTGGGAACGTAGTGGATGAAAGCCTCACACATTTTATTTTGGGGGACTTTAGGGATATTTAAAAAGCTGAAGTGGACTTCAGGGCTCGTCCAGGGACATACAACGAGACTCTGTGAGATACGTGGCTGCCAAACCATTTAGAGCTTTAAACACCACTATTTAAAAAAAAAAATAAATTCTAAAAGACACTGGCAGCCAATGTAGATCAGATAAAACAGGAATAATGTGCTCTCTTTTTCTGGTTTTTGTTAAAAGCCTGGCGGCGGAGTTCTGGATAAGTTGAAGCTTTTCTATTCATTTTTTTTTAAGACCAGCGAAGAGTCCAACTTACTTGATATGAATGCATGTATGAGCTTTTCAGCCTCTGGTCGGTATAAAAATGATCGTCTTAGTCACCCTGCTTGTAGAGGTATACAATTTAAGACTGAATCTAATTTCTTTATATACTTGATATACTTTAAATACTTGATGAAGAAGGCATGCATCAGTACTACCATCTTTATTATGGCAGAAGATGACATGGTATTTTACAT